ATTATGAATTGATTTGATTGTATCACATACAAAGAATAATCAGCTTCACTCCTTATAAACCCTTCATTTACAAAAAATGTATCAATATGTTGGTACCATGCCTTTGGAGATTACTTGACTCCATACAAAGATTTCTTCAACTTATAAATAACGTCTTGTTTGCCATCTTCAACAAATCCTTGAGGTTGATCTATGTAGATGTCTTCTTCTCTCAACTTTTTATTCAAGAAAGCCGCCTTCACATCCATTTGATGTATCTCCAAGTCCATTGCTACCCCAATTACCAAAATGGTTCTAATAGTAGTGAATTTGGCCAAGGGAATAAATGTCTCATTGAAATCAACTCCAACAACTTGTAAGTATCATTTCACAACCAATCTAGCCTTGTATCTCATAACATTATCTATTATATCCTTTTTGATTTTAAACACCCACTTATAACCAATTGAAGATCGATTTGGTGGAAGTTGAGAGTCAATTCTCATGTTCCATTTTTCATGAGTGATTTATACTCTTCTTCCATAGCATTCTCCCACTTCATAGCATCTGTGGACTTCATTGCATTTTACAAAGTCAATGGATCAGCAAGAAGTGCAACATTGACATATTCTTCACTTACTTGAGAAAAGATGTGGTTCTTCCACCGTGAACCAAGTTGTTTTTGATCTCTTAAAGGATATCTCCTTTCACTTGATGAAGATTCATCTTCATGTACTCCAATAGCTCTTACAATCTTCTTTTCTATTAAAACTTGTCTCTTCATACTTAAAAGTTGATACTCCTCATTACTATCATTATCTTTAACAACTTGATTGTCTTCATTGCTGATTTTAGTAATTGTAGGTAGCTCATGATCTACCTTCTTTGATTCTTCATCTTGATTTGAGATTCTACCATCTTCATTATCATCATATTTTTCTTCTTTCATTATTGGATTTAAAGATGTATCTACAAACACACAAGTACTTCTACTTGGACACATCTCCAAGTGCTCACAAGCACTCTTGTACTCCAAAAACTCTACATCATGACTTTTAATGATTTTCTTGGTTTCTAAACACATAAGTCCATATGCTTTGATATATTCACAATACCCAACAAATATACATTTTTTTCCTTTTGTATCAAGTTTGGACCTCATACAATCTGGTTTCTTTACATAAGTAATGCATCCAAAGATCCTAATGTGTGAAATACAAGGTTTCTTGGCACTCCAAGCTTTTTATGGAGTCATTGATATGAGTGTACTTATTGGACATCTGTTCCTTGTATACATTGTATTTACCATTGCTTCTATCTAATATTCATGCTCAAGATTTTGTGCATGAAGCATACTCCTTGCAATTTCCACAATGGTGCGATTTACTCTTTCAGCAACTTAATTTTGTTGTAGAGTGTAAGGAGTAGAGGTTTATCTTGTAATGCCTTGATTTCTCAAAAATTCATCAAAATACTTTGATTTGTATTCACTTCCATTGTCCGTGGATAAAGTTTTTATCTTGCACTCACATTGCTTCTCCACAAGTGCCTTGAATTCTTTAAATCTTGAAAAACATTCACTCTTGGCTTTAATATTGTATATCTATACCTTTCTTGAGAAATCATCAATAAATATAAAAAATTACCTTGCTCCTCTAATTGATGGTATTTTCATTGGTCCACAAACATCAGAATGAACCATCTCCATTAATTTGCTTGCATGTATCGCAATTCGACTTGAAAATGAAGTACTTTGTTGTTTGCCTTGGATTTAACCTTCACAAGTAAGTATCATAGCATTGTGGTTGAATTGACCAAGATCTAAGCCACATACCATAGATACGAGCTCTTTTATGTTTTTGGCATTCAAATGACTAAGTCATTGATGCCAAATGTCAAATTTTTCTTGATTTTGTGGAAAATCAGTATATGCCACCACTTCTATTCCATTCATCTTATTATAATTGATGAAGTAAAGTTTACCATCTCTAAGGCCTTTGGCAATATATTGTCCACTCAATGTCTTTACAAAACATCCATTTATGTCAAATTGAACTTTACAATTATATGATACAAGTTTGCTTACAGAAAGAAGGTTCTTTTTCATCTTTGGCACATCTAAGACTTCCTTCAATCTGATCTTCTTGATTTCATCCTTTATTACAATTCCACGACAATGAAGCCAATTCCAATGGCTTGCACCATGCCATTATCTCTCAACTATATTTTTGTTGCTAGAATTGCTTTATAAGTGTCAAATGAATATTTGTATAGTGTCATGTGCTTAGTAGCACTGAAATCTATAATCCACTTAGATATGGCAGCCATGGAGGCTCTTTCACTTGCCAAGAGAGCATAATCATCTCTACCAAAACTATTACTAGCATTATTTGTATTTTTTTTATCTCCTCTCTTAGCCTTGTAGTAATTTTTAGCAAAATGAGATGATTTTTTAACAAATATAGTAATTCTTTATGTTGTTTTTTGAATTATTATTTTGGCATAGAAAACTACCTTTGCCTTCTCTTGAGAATAGAGCCAAATCATTACTTTCAAACTCCTTTTCTTTCTTCTTGATTATTTCATGTATAAGTCTTGATATGAGATAATTCATGATAAGCTCCTTCATGTTGATAGACTCCAATGCCATAATGAGATAGTTGTAGGACTCAAAAAGACTCATAAGCAATATCAACACAATTTTTCTACCATCAACTGATGTGTCACAACTGCTAGTTGGTTTGCAAGTGCTTTTATGTTGTTGACATGAGCCATGAGGTCATCTCCTTCTTCCATCTTTTTCGTTAAGAACTTCTTTCTTGTCCATAGAATATTAGTAAGGTTTCTACTCTCATAGATATTGCAAAGAATCTTTCATGCTTCCACTAATCCATTGCAAGCAATTACATGTGAAAAATTGATATCAATATTTGTTACAATCATACCAAAAGCCTTCCTTTCATGTCATTTGTACTCTTTTCACGTTGACATCAATATCATCACTAGAAGGCTCTTCACTTTCATCAATAATGTCCCAAAGGTCCAATGAAGCTAATAAAAGCTCAATTTTTTTCTTCCAATGGTAGAAGTTTTACCACTCTTTTATCATCTCTAATATCTCATAATAAATCTTTTCACTTTAAGAAGATCTATTAAGAACTTGAGCACATGAAAGTTCAATATTAGTATATTAATAAGGTAGATTAGCAAAGAAACACACCAATAGTATTCTAAAATAACATCTTAAAGTATATAACAATCTCTAAGACCATGAATGCACTTAACAACAAGTAAGAGCACAATTACATCAACAACTAGATATAAAAAGAGATTTAGAAGATATCAAATCCTAACATCAAGAAAAACCATAAGATCTACTCGTCATAAAAACAAAGACTTCAAAGAACTTCAATACTCACAACTAAAGATGAGTGGGCTTATAACCTATTAAAGAAATAGAAATTTAAAGTCACAATATTTAGCATCAACAAGGTTGCACATAAACAAAGTATGGAATAAGATGTCTCTCACTTCCAACACCCAATACTTATAGGTTGTAGTTGCTGCCCTACAAGACAACTTCTATTCTTTGACTTTTATGCACATGATCCTAGGTCGTAGGATCTTTGGGATTTAACATACCTTGAAGGTATCCTATGGTCTTTGGATCCTTTGGCATCTTACTAACCACAAGGGTATCTTATGCCAAATACTAATTACTTTTACCTAATCTTTGGATATTTCCTAGTTCATACTTTATCCTTTTGATTTTGACTCTTGCTTCTTAATCTTATCCTATATCCATAGGATGCCATTTCCATATATCAAGAGTCAATCTTTTGACCATTAGCAACTTATTTAAGATAATACCTTTTACTATGTAACTTATTTTACTTTTACTTACTTACTTGAATACAAAAAACACATTTAAAGATAATTTTTTCTTCTCTTCAAAGAACATTTTTTTGCTTCGAATTGATAATGTACAATAAAACTATGACTTGCCCTAGGGAATGTTTATAGTACATTTTGGCTCTACATGGTGGCAACCACATCATTATATTCTTTGTTCAATAATACTTGTATATTGACTTATTTTCCTCATCTACAAGAACTTGTCTAAAAAAGATACAATATAAACATTAGATTATGTTGACCTTATAGAAAGAAGATGCATGACAAACGGTGGAGTGTGTTAACTTTGCCCTTTTCTTTGCAATCTATAATTTGTAGACCATGCTAAACTATATGTTGTGTTTGAAACACCCACTTGACATATTTGATCCATGATACTTGTTGCCCAACACTCTCCATTATGTTTTAAATTGTAGCAAAGCAACATAATTGTATGACTAAAGTAGGAATTAAAAATTGAATACTATCTTTTAAGAAGTATGTCCTAAATTCACATAATATGCCCAATATATATATAAAAAAGTTTTTACTTTAGTCAAATAACAATATAGAACATAGTGTAATTAGTATATAATTAAAATATTATTTTATTTTATTTTATTGGAGTTCACTGTTTATAATTAATTTAAAAATAAATACAATGTTTGTTTTAGTTGAAGTCTATTTTTACATACTTTTACAAGGGAGGTTTTAGATCAAATTACAAAATTTTTAACTTAAATAAAAAAAACAGATATTATTTAGAATCTAAATTATTATTAATTTTTTTAAAGAAAATTATAATAATATATGGAACCTAGATTAGAAATCTTTTAAGCTTATAATAGGTGACCAACTTACTAAATTCATTCAAACAAGCTCTATGATATTTTATAAATAATATAATTTTAGAGCTTAAATAGTCATAATCAGAAGAAAAGCTTACACGTTTCAACTAAAGAATAGGTAATATTTCTTGAAGTAATATAATTCTATGAATACTTTAATAATTGTAGTTGACGTAACACCAATTTAATGTACAGTAGTGCTTTTTCGTCTATTGGTATCGGACTACACAATTTCCTTTCTTTTCCAATGCACATCCGTTTAAATGCTGATTGCACTTATTTTGGAAGCAAGCCGTGTGTTATCAAAAGAAAAGGGAAAAACTGGATCAGAAAACCTGATTTTGGGGAGCTCTTTATATTCTCTCTTGCTCTCCCTCCACCTGGAACCCACTCATTACCTTAAAAGTGGTTTTGAACCCTAGATGGCAACTTTTGAGTTGCTGAAAAGTTGCAGCAAGTCTAGAACACAAGCTTCTTACACTGACGTAGAGATGAGTTGATGCAGACATCGTTGTGGTCAGTGAAAACAGCCTTTCAAACTACTTGTCACAGGTTCCTACAAATTATCCATCAAGAAGGCTCAACTGCAGAGACTAACATGAGTTCCGCCCACTAAATCCTTCTTTATGTGAATCAATAGACTCCTGTAGGTTTGGATAATTGAATTGGGGTTTTGCAGGTGCAAGCATTTGCATATATGAATATGCAAAATGACCTGTTCAACAGTGAAGACCCAAAAGTGAGCAGCGAAGTCTTGCAAAATTCTGAAAATCAGTCATTTGAACAAATCCATGGAATGTTTAATGGTTGCGTCAAGTAGTTGGACAAAAGCAGAAGCCGAAACACTACAATGACGGGTATTCGCACAAACCACCCGTCAGATCAAGGATCGTAATATCTAAAAGCACTCTACAGAAGTTGCGCAGAAAAGAGGGACATGGCTGAGGAGGGTGATGCATTCACAAGAACTGGACATGTACATGGGCCAATATGCAAACCTTTTCCTCCAGCCAATGCCGCTGATATAAAATCGAGTGCTTCAACTTCAGGAGACTCGATGAGTAGTATCTTCTGTCAGAAAGCCTATGCGACCAAGCGTGGAACGAAAGCACAATATATAGTCTAAAACCGGCTAAGGCATTTGTCGATGTGATCGTTGATTCCTTCATTTGAAATATCTGGTTCAAGCTCTTCATAGCAGACAGGGCAATAGAGGGATGCTGCAATTGCATCACAGAGCCACACACAAGGGTAAGAAATCTGCTTTTGAAGATATGCAAAACTACGAACATGCAAGGCGATTGGTGAATTCAAAATTTCAAAGGATCACAAACAAGGTTGGTTAAGTAATACCTTCACGTCGCACTTCTCCACCCAACTGTCCTTCATGACTGTCCACATCACTGGATTCCCCATCTCGCCTTGTGGTTGGCCTCCGAACTTCTTCACCGCTGTCTTCTCCTGCAATGGCTTTGCCTTGATTACGGCCTCGGCGTCTGTAGTAGGTTTTCGCTTGCCCCTCAAAATCAGCGTTTAACCCAACGCTGGCTTGGAATGGAGCATTACTTTCCACAGTACCCCCATCGATGTCATCATAATCCACAAGTCTGGGATGCTCTGGCAACGGGAATTGGCGTCCAGCACCTGCAAATCTCCCTGCTACATCAACACTGCTTATCTCTGCTCCACTAGTCGTGGCACCACCATCTCCGTTAGATCTAGCCCGGCCTTCAAGTCCATGATAACTGTGTTGTCCAGAAAACACCCGTCGCTCGATACTCACTCTATTACTGTCTTCTTCTTCGTCACTCAATTCGATCACTTTCTGCTTTCCTCTCCTGTGAGCAAGTTCATTCAGCTCACCTATACTTTCACCCTGCTCCTCAAACACTTCATGATCTAGGAAGATTGCAACAACAGGCACTGCTGATCCACTTGACTGACCCCAATCCTGCTCACTTCTGCAAAAGCCAGCCCACATACAACTACATGTCAACAGAATACACCAGAAACTCAACATGAAAAAGAGACGAATGGCAGGTTGAGATCCTAACCTTCTGTCTCAAGAGTTGACAATAATGCACCGAAACAACAAGAAAGAAGCTAACATGCATTTAATGAATAACAGGAACTCATTACTGAAGTATGTTGGTCAGGAAAACATACGTGTCACGGTATTGAACCGTTGGATAACTGCCGCGCGGTTGATTAGAGCTCTCTGGAACACTGTCAGGGACCCTAAATCCTGCTGAATCACCAACACCAAGCTGCTTAACTACAGGTTCCACGCCATCTGTTCCGTCTTCTTGCTCATCAAGGTCTACTACCACGTCATCTGCATATCTGCCACAATGTGATGTACCGCTTTGATGAATGCCTTTCTTTTTGTCTACTCCGTGCGCCTTTGGTTTCATGCAAATATCATTGAGGGTCGATTGAGAAATCGATTCATGAGATGTTCTTTCAGCGACAGAATTTGTGGTAACACCTTCAGCAATAGTGTCCAGGACCATGGAGTCTTCTTGAGCAGAAAAGAAAGACGGGTCTGTTTGGTCTCCGATTGTGAGAGCTTGAGTGCTTCCAGCCCTGGAGTGGATCCTCGTATTGCCAACATGCCTGTCACTCACATCCAGATTGACACTAGTAGGAAAGGATCTACTTGCAATTTCAATGTCGCTGTCACTAGTTCCTTTTCTGCCAGGCGACATCCTAAGCTTGCTATCTATTCCAGCGGGCGTGTTACTTCCTTCTGGTCCCTCTCCACTTCTGGTCTGCACAGGTCGGTCTTCACTTCCGGTCAAAGATCGAAGGTCTCCCGGAACCGCCTCCCTCTTGTCCACGTGCGAGGCACCACTTTCCGTGACTAAAGGTAGCTCCGAAGACGTTTGAGTCACATCTTTTACTTCTCTAGCACGCCCTGCCGCAATTACAGCGTCGTTATTTGAAGACATCACATTATCTAGAGCTTCAATTTTAATGCTGTCAGCTGTTGCAAAAACACGAAAAACACTGTAAGCTTAAAAGAAACTGAAAAAAACCTTAAAATAACCATGTAATAAAAATTGAACATTTTAGCTGGAGTCTCTGGTGATCATTTCCCTCCTTAGATTCAACACTAAATATAATAAGGTAAACAAATGAAAGAGAAAGCACAGAACACTGTATCTTAAGGCTGCAACATGCTATTACCTGCGTCATCCAGCGTGTGCACCTGACGTGGAAGTTCATTTTGTCTTTCCAATCTCCGGCGCTCATCCCGCTTGTTAACCAATACGTCGACTTCTTCACCATCATCTTCATACATGCACCAGTGCTTCCATGCAAGAATAACTGATGGCTCTCTGTCGGCCTGCCCAGTATTATTCAGTTCATCGGCTCTCCTTCTTTTGCTGCAGCTCCCCATATTTGCCTTGATTGACTGCTCTTTTGTAGGATTAACTTGGTTTTGAACCCTCAATCGTATAGACCTCTTGCGCTTCGGGCAAGCGGGATCGTATTCATCAGCAGTATCATCCAGTACGAGAGTGCCCGTCTTTTCACTGCATTTTACCTCGACAAGTTGTGTTGCAACTTCATCTCCAGAATCGAACTCGGGGGATATATCCGCCTCTGTACCTCTGCCCATTGGTTTCAAGAAGCTCCTTAAACTGTAAGGCTTCTCGCGGTTGGGACTGCTCGCGACCTTCTTCCGTGCGCCTCCACCGCTCTCCAAAATTTGCCTCTTTCTCCTAGCCGCCGACATTGGCAGCGGATCAGTTGCTTTGTCCTCTCCACGCATACCAGGAACACTGTCCCAAAGATGCGTATCCGTATCAAACTGCTTATAGATCGGCAAATATATTAATAAATTGTGCACACAGGTTTCATTGTTTATCCCACAAAAACTTCCACCCCGCCGGCAATCATAATCTGTACACAAGATTTAGCCATCAGCATTAATCTCATTCATGGCTGCTACGGTTGTATTTAAAAAATACAAACATTCAATTCTAAAAGGTCACATTATACGAAGACCATGTACACACTCATCCCTTTTCATCCAGCGTTCACTACACAGAAGCAAACTGTACTCCCGACTTCATTACTCTCAGGTGTTACCATAGAAGAACTTTGATGCTTAAAGAAGTTAAGCAGCATCAATACAACAAAGAACGCTACATCACGATTAACAAACTCTCCTACGCTGCGCAACCTGACACAACGGCCACCCTTACATTAACTTAAGGATCACAAAATCTGCAGAGACCGCACTGACACATGTTGCTATCGTTAGCCAAATTCATAGCATCATTTTTAAATGCATGCATGCATACCTCGAAATTATTCACAATAAACGATGCAAATAACCTAGTGACAGATGGAGACAGAAATATACCAAGTCGGGAAGGAAGGCCTCTTATTCGCTTGCAGAGATTCATGAAGGACCTCTCTGCTTAACGATCCACCTCCCCACACTGACGCCACCATTTCCTGCAAACTTGGTGTCACTCCCTGCTCAGCTCCCTTACAGCAATTCCAAATCACCATCCACACACACACACACACACCACAAAAAAGAAACCCACAAGTCCGCAAGAAAACCCCACAAGAAGTCCTCATGTCAACAAACAAACAGGCAATAGACCAATACAGAATTGATCAACAAGAATCATCCATTCCAGTCCACAAACCAGCACACCCTAAAGTATCTCCACATAAAGACGGACATTTCCACACAAACATGGCGGAACTTCCGTAGTCCGTTGACCTAACCCGGGGAAACCAAGCCGGCGCAGCTTCCTTCCCCACTCCCAACACTCTCAAACCCTGCAGGTCAGCTGGAACCCAAAATCACAAGAACGACAGAGACCATTACCACACAAAACACGCACAACCCAGAATCCAAACAATTTAACAGCACCCCACCGACACCATCCATCGCGTCGTGACCAAAAAGCACGCAAATGGGTAAGCAGCAATCGTGCAAGCAAGGAACTGTGTTACGCACCGAGCCAGCGACCACATATAATCCATGACGCATAGGGAAGACGATTGGGAAACGAGACACGGGTGTGGCGAAGACGACGACGATGACGAAGAAGAAGTAAAAGACTCACGTAACGATGGCGTGGAGAATGGAGCGAGGGGACGGGCGTGAGATGCTGGCGGAATTCGGGTGCGTGAAGATGATGGCATCGAAGATTGGTGAGAACCGAGACGAGGAGTGGAACCTGGACTATCAGAATTGATGTCACGAGTCCAGAGATGGCGCTACTGCGGCGTTCTGCTGCTGCTGCTGCTGCTGCAGATCCCACCATCGCCTTCTCGTCCTCGTCGTCGTCTCCGTCGCTGCCTCGCTCCGCGGTTGCCTCACTTCGCCCTCTTCTCGCCCCTTCCCGCGACCAGGCCTTGCTTCCTCGCCGCATGCTCGTGTGAACAGGACCTTTGTTCCCCATCCCATGGGAACCGATTCTCTCTCGCTGCTCCACTTTTTAAACGGCCTTCAAGGTTAGATTTCGCCTTCATTCTCGATTATTTGTTATTTTATTGCGCTTTATTTGAAATAAATCTACCGTGGCCATTAGTTTTATTATGTTTTTATTATTATTATTATTATTATTATTATTATTTACATGGTGTTGAAAAAAAAATATATTCCATGCATAACAAAACTGCCCCTTTTTTTTGTTGTATTTACAAAGATCTTTGTTAAATTACCAATAACAATGAGGATATTTGGTTTTTTTTTGAGAATTTACAGCAAAGCCCAAAATGTGTGTGCATATATGTATATGTGAGTGTGTATAAAAGTTTTTTCAAATCATGATTTTTAAATTTTATATTTACGGGCTTTGATCAACAATGTCATTGCAAACATGTGTAATATTTGCATTTCTCACTAAGTTAAATTTCTTTAAACTTTGATCTGAAAATAATTCGCAAAATCTAGATTTTTGAAATACATAAGTATATATACTTATACATGTGGAGAATGTTAAATAGACTTGGGTTTTTAAAAAATTGACTTAGTTGTCATGAAAAGCATAAATGACCTTTAGATTCATCTCTCCACTACTATATTCACAACCAATGAAAATCAATCACATTCATCATGATTATCATATTCTTCATCATGAGTGGGTTGATTTAGTAAAAGTCTGGGTCTATTTAACATTCTTCATATATATATATATATATATACACATAGAAAAATGTTAGAGTGGCCAACGAAATTGTAAAGACTCACATTCACAAAACGACATCAAGAAGACTGGTTGTGATGTCCACTTAAAACCTATCTCAACAAACAAGCGATGAATAAAAATCTCACTTCAAATGAATTTATGCCCCCGATGAAGGTTTACACATATTTCTATGCTACGAAAAGATCTCAAGGGTGCCTAAAGGCAATCAGCGTCGTATGTTTTATTTATTTATTTCTTTAACTATTGTTGCTCTCACCCGCCCAATAATCCCATCAGTAGAACGACGTCCATAGCGACGAAGAATAGCAGAAACTCGATATTTCGTCGACGAAGTTCGTCGAGAGATTGGTCAACGTCGTTTGGACGTTTTTCGTCACCGGTTTCGTCGGAATCGACGTTCGGTCTGCAACTCCGCCGACGTCGCAGATATGTCCACGGCATTTGCGTCATGTCTGCAAACGATTTCTGAAGGTTTCGGGGACCGGCTCTGCGTTGCACAGCACATGCACGCGAGGGGGATTCCTCTTGCACTAGTTTGAAATGGAGATTTCCTACAGTGGCAGCGGGTGGGAGAAGGGATGCTGATCTGCTCTCGTATGAAAAGCAGAAGAGCAGTTGTTGGTTGCTCTGTTTACAGAACGAGGTGAACAATTCGGTCTTAGTATAGTTGCTTTTGGCTATGTTTCGGCGAGTCTCCGTGAAGGATTTTTGTGTCGGACGGTTCTCGATTCATGAAATTGCTGCGTCGAAGCAAGTTGCTGGATCAATGCAGGCATTGCTGGTCAGAATTGGATTGGTTGAGTAGGTGATTGTGGGCCAGTCTTGCTCTGATTTGGAGCATTGATTGGTTTGACTGAGGGCTTTGATTTAGCGGACTCTTTGTTAGGTTTCCTTACGATCGCAATTTGTTGGAGTGGGTTGGTTACTGGGACAGTGTTGAGTTTTAGAAAGAGTGTCTCTGTTGCTGTGTCTTTGTTCTATTCTTTGCTTTTTCACTTTCACTGGTATGCCTCAGCTTATGGCCCCATGTGTCATTAATTGGCATTTCAGTGTTCGTTTCCAACCCTGGCGGCCTTGCTGCCTGTGTAGCAACTGGGGATGATGTTGTTCCGGGTGCTATTTAAAGTGTATGATATCAGTGTTATAAAATCTCATTGTTATTTTTATCTTTCTAGTTTGTAAATTATTTGCAGAAGTGCTGAGATGATTATGGTTGAGCTCCTTGTTGAAGAAATCCGACGAGCTTTCTCTAATTGTCCCAGCTTCAGTCAATTAGAGCTTTTTGAAATAAACAAGTTGAGCCATTTAATAGACTTCTTTGTGCACTGACCAAAACATCAACAGTGACCCTGTTTGGTTGTCATTAGATGTTGGATTTGTACGCTTACTCTCTTTTAACCCAAGGGCAGGATCGTCCAGAGAATGGAGTAGGATCGTAAGTGGGAACACCAACTCCAAGCTGTCGGATAAAGTCTTAATTGCAGTTATCAGCCTTTACAAGATTTTGTGACGTTTAATGTTAGACTGAAGTATGCAATAAAGGTCTACCTATCGGAATTCAGTATGATACCAAGGTGTCTAAGAGTTGCAATCACATATCTGTCATATCTCTCGCATGAAGAAGATGATGTTGAGTGAAGTAGAGCGAAGATTATAAGCAAAGACTTCAGGCATGAGCGTTGAGACGAACATGCTTTATTGACTTAGCTTTTCCTGTATATTCTATTTTCAGGTAATATAACTATATATTTCTTCATCTCATAAGCAGTCCAAAAGTAACCTACCTCGCAATTAACTTGTGTTGATAAAATCGCTTTGTTGTCGATGATTATCTCAGTACAAGTGGTGCAGGACTAAAGCATGGAGGGTAGTAGTAATTTCATCGGATAGTATGGGTTGCACTGATCGTTGCCGCTGGTGTTGCAGCTGGAACAGCGACCACAGTACCAGCCAGTGCTTTTCCATATGCATTTGATTCGGCTTTCACTGCTTTGAGGTGCAAGAGGAAGAAGGATCCATGGGATCATCGTAATCGCTTTAACTCTGATAACCTCAAGAGACTGTTAAGTAAATCTAAGGAAGATGAGGCTTACAGGGATTCTATACGACGGTGCTTCTTGGACTGGAGGGACATAGATGTTTCTCTTGATGACTTCCCTTATTTTCTTAAGTAAGCGCTCTGTCCTTTTCTAAAATCCCGACTTGCAGAGTTTTTTCTCGTAAGGTGCGGGTTACTGAAAAATCTTCATAGCTTTTAAGATGTCTCTTGGTCCGGGATGAATAAGCTCTTGCATATGAAAGGAAGCCCTCAATGCAACGCTTTCCCTTACTCGTCCTGTATGTATACGCTTTTTCTGAAAAAAGTTCTTTCTTAAGAGATCAGAATTCTCTAAGTTCACAAATGAATTTAGGAGTGTGAGCCCACGAATCTTATTAACTGGTCCCCTAAGTGAGTTGTCTTCGTTAATGGTGAACTTTCCATTCCCTTGAAAAGCTTCGAAATGAAAGCTCCTACAGGAACAGAACCGTTTGCTCATATTCTTAATCACTCACAGCATTGCAGAGCCTTGCTTTTCTCTCACGACATTAGAGTGGTTCATTCTTTCATGGATTGAAAAGGTCCATCCTTTTGGCTCGAACTCCTCTTAAGTAAATCTTCGAACTGCAGCAAACAAATTGATGGTGAGTTTTGATCTTCTCATCTTTTTGTGGTGACGAAAAGAGAAAATTTCATGCCAGTGTGATACGATTTCAGGTTCAGACATTTACCGAGAGAAGTTAGTAGAGGGGTTGGCACAGCATTTGCAATTCAACCTTCATGTGTTTGACAGTACGCGTGCCTCCTTGGAGGTGCAATTCTCGCCCTCTGATCCCTGTGTAAGCACACTCTTCACTCTTTCCATTTCAAAACAAAAGAAGTTCTAGCGGAGTAGAGCAGAACCGCAAGAAGGGAGGGTTTTAAGACATTTTTGGTGCAGACTATCTTATGGATTGGTTTTCAGAATTTATTACGAATGTCCTGACTTGATTTGTGGAGCTCAAAACGTCACAGAGAAGAAAGCAACAAGGGCTTAGCTGAGGCAAGGAATGAAGAGGATTCATACTTTCTGAAACCTTTAGCTCCTTTGAAAAGGTCTTGTTAGTAGGGCTGTTTGCAGGGCTGGATGAATTGAATGTTTTAGGGATTGAAGTGTAGACCGTATTCAGTTTTGGGGACTCCAGATTATCACCTCTGATTCTCGTAGGTTAGTGAAGCAATTTCTTCTAGTTCGGAGAAGGTATCCGAAGATTTCGCAGCTATAAACCACCACTCTAAAGATGCTCCTGCAATTCAGATATTGGATGGTGCAAATGGTGATCTCAAACAAGCAGCAGGCACTCCGTAATTTTTATCCCTTATAGTGGTAACCCTGATCTCATGGAAGCACACTGTTGCATACAATTCTAAAGATCTTGTGTTTACTGATTATTTTATCATTATCAGCTTTAGAATACTGTGTTACAACAGCCACTTACTCATTCCAGCGTAGTTAAGAACATAGCTTATGATCGCTGCCTCAAACTGAAAACTTCTTAGTAGATGTGTTTTGGGGAAATGTAGAGGGAATGCAAGTGTAATAAGGAGCATTTTAGTGCAGTTATAGGATTGTAAATGGTGCCCGCCTGACAACTCTCAACATATCTGTCATGCAGTGGCCGGAGCCTCCCGGAGAAGATGTAGAGAATCTGATGCTTTTTGAGTTACGTGATCTCGGGGAAAGCATGACCTGGTACAGTGTACCTTCTGTCAGCTTCTTTACGTTATTCTATCCACCGTTAATTTATCAGCACTGATTAGTGTGCATCTTCTAACATGTTTTGATGTCGTAGTAGATAAACAGTTGTATATGCATTTGCACTACCAATACATAAAGAACAGTTTCTTCATGCAAATCACTCCCCTTACGTTCTTGGTTTGTATATACTTGTATGCTTGCAGCGCCTCTTGATTCCGCAGTGCTCTTTGCTGATGACGTTATATTTTGAGTGTCTATAAAGCGACGTCAGTATCAAGTATTGATTGTGTTTATGACGAAGTGGTCTCTTCGACCTGTCTGCAATAGAGCTGCGTAGGACTATGATGGTTCTTTTTTTTTTTTTTTTTTTTTTTTTTTTTGTGTGTGTGT